TCTTCTTCTTCTCAATTGCTTCCTGGGGCTCGCATGTTCGCTTGTATTGGCAAATCTACTATCATTTAACATTAATTCGCGCGCAAGTCACCATATCTGCATCATCATCATCATCATCATCATCATCATCATCATCATCATCATCATCATCGATCATCATCATCATCATCATCATCATCATCATCATCATCATCATCATCATTAACCATCATCATCATCATCATCATCATCATCATCATCATCATCATCATCATTATCGTCATCATAAATATAATCAACACCACCATCATCATCATCATCCTCACCATCATCATCCTCAGCATCATCATCATCATCATCATCATCATCATCATCATCATCATCATCATCATCGATCATCATCATCATCATCATCATCATCATCATCATCATCATCATCATCATTAACCATCATCATCATCATCATCATCATCATCATCATCATCATCATCATCATTATCGTCTCATCATCATCATCATCATCATCATCATCATCATCATCATCATCATAATCATACCGTGGAGCACACGGTGGATACAGTCGGACTCGGCGCCAAAATGTTGGTTAATCAGTGATCTAATAAATCACAGTGGTCTTCCGGTGTGGTAAATGTTGTCCGCCGTCCACCAAGGCTTCACCACTGTCTGATCCGATTGTGAAACTTCAGAATGGGTCGTTAGCTCGGTAGATGTAGACATACACCTTCGATTCCAACTACCACCGAAGTCGTTTGAAGCAACCAGTGTCAAATTGAGTACAGTTTAACCGTACTTGCAACTAACTTATGTCTATGGTAGGCGCCAATGGCATTGTGAAAGGTGACCGCCTGCCCAACAATGAACGCTTGTTTGTGCTTTTAAGGACCGCAAAAAAAAAACTCACTCAAAGCTTTACTCCAGATGTTACTGTTTTACCTTCTTGCCCAGGGCGGCAAGTACCCCATCTCTTAAATTTGTTTGCATCTTTTTTGCAGGGCCAACGGAACACGCTGTCTCGTCCACTGCAAGATGGGCATTAGTCGATCCGGTGCCACGGTACGTCCTGTCTTCCAAAGATTTAAAAGTAGACAACCACCTGTTCTGTCCTCTCCGACCGCGTGACATTACATCTTTTTTGTTCCCTGTATGCAATCCTGGTGTTTTCCTCACTTTTGGTGATATGCTTGTCCCTGCCTGGGCTCCTAGAAAGCATTTCTTTCTGTTTGGCTGGCTGGCGAAAATGATTTAGGTGGTCGATGGCTCCTCTTTAAGGCGTTTGATATCAACCGAATGAGCAAGCTATCGTCTTAGCCTCCCTTTCTCAGTTGGCAGAATTGGACTTCCTTCAAAACTGTGCTAACGCCGTGCGCCAATGACCTCATTGTTGTATTCCGAATAAACAAAGAGGCGTAACAATTTGTTTACAGTAGGCTAACCGATGAGAGATTTACGTGCGAATATAGAGCAGAAAAAAATGACGCCTCAGTTTCAGGAAGCCCGCCGTATTTTTCGGCTTTTAAGAATTACCAGGGCTATGTCACTCCTACACCAGCTATTGATCACTGCTAATCTCGAGACTAGCCTTGTGTTTAGTACTGCCTCCGCGTCGTTCACACCCACCCTTTTTATCAACTGTTCTGATAAGTCCATTTCCCTCCGATTACCCCGCAACGGTTAACAGCGTCTTGACTTCGGTCTGTTCTGAGTTTGAAAGAGACAAGCGAATTCGGGACATTCTCGTTCAAAAAAGGAGAAGAGTCTTTTCTTCTCTGGGTTATAGCTTCTTGTTGAGGTACTTTGGAGAGAACGTGACCTCTCTTATCGAAGTTCATGTCATGAATTGTCACGCAGCATTTTGAATCACACGTGCCCAGGCACAGACGTGAACAAACATGGCCATCACACCCTCGAAATCATATCATCAAGAATTTCATTACTCAGTATTTTGGTTTATCATCACATTCTCACCACCTCTCGTTCCTAACGGTGTCATCAAGGCCTGCGTCGCAGTAGATACTGATGTATCGTTTCCGTTCCCTCCCCTTCCTTCGCATAGGTTGTCGCTTACGTGATGAAGGAGAAAGGCTGGGACCTGAAGAAGTCGTTGGATTACGTGCGCAGCAAGCGACCCTGTGTCAACCCCAATCCCAACTTCCTTCGGCAGCTGGAGACCTATCAGGGCATCCTAGAAGCAAGGTTGGTGTGACTTTTTGTGGTCTCTTTTTCTTTAATGCTTACGGTAAATATCGCCTGTTTTAAAAGGGGATAAGCACGATTCTACTTTAAAACGGATTCACTATCTGTGTGGCACGCACAAGATTGTGCAAAATGTCTGCT